TTTTTTTCTAGGGATTCAGAGGCGGCGTTTGGCACCCAAAGTGGAACGAGGGGAGGCTCGTTTTGGACCAGAATTAGATTGGGAAAAGCCGTGGCGTGACCAGGTGTTCGGGGCCAAGATGAGCGAAACAAACGGCAACAGACGTCCTTTTTTTTTCTAGGGATTCAGAGGCGGCGTTTGGCACCCAAAGTGGAACCAGGGGAGGCTCGTTTTGGACCAGAATTAGATTGGGAAAAGCCGTCAAGTTTCCATTTTGATCGTAAGTCTTGTCGCCAGCCATCCTGAGAATATTGAAAGCTTTACAGTAATTTATTGCATTCTGAAGTGTACCTGCTTCAACTGTTGAACAACCCGTCCAATTTGATCGGTTTGTTTCATAGCTTTTTGCCGACTGCAAGCTGCAGTACTCCTGCTCCTTGATGAGTCCCGGGGTCGGCGGCAGGGGCGGCAGCCCTTAAATATACTATAGTACATATATATGTATATATATATCACTGTAATAGCTCCAGTTTCCACAAAAGTTGCATATTTCATCAGTCAGACGTGGAGTCCACCCACAACTCGCAGTTGTCCAAAGCCAGCTGGGCCATGCTGGGCCCACATACTGAGTGCTTGGAAGCTGCGCCTCCGGTGGCTACGGTCCTTCCAGTCCTTCCTGGCCTCAATCCCTCCTCTGTGTTGCTCCACAATTGAATCTCATAAACAAGATCGCTATGATTCCGAAAGTCTGCGCGCGTCAGACTCAGATAGTGCGAAGAGTGATGAGAAATCTAGATTCGTGCGTCTTACGGCAAACTCTGGAGTACTCATATTGTGTAGATCTCAGTTAAGAGCCTCCCTGATTCCTTTTGGCAACATTCCCGTCCAGCCTGCATTAGCTGCGACTGTGTGGTTCGCTGCAAGGAAGATGAGCTTACTGGAGGTGGTGTGGGAACTTGGATTCCCGCCTCCGCATTGACAATACTGACGAAATTTTGTCACCTGCATGTGCACAGCCCGTTTGGAAAAATTGACCACATCCATGATTGAATTCTAAGTTTCTTGTTGACTTGATCCCCAAGTACGCATTCCGCATCCTTAGGCCAAGCCTTAACATTGCAAAATCATCTCATCGCGGATGGCCTCTGCTTGAGGCGGTTGTAGCGGCGGTTGGCTCATCTTCCGCAAGGCGGCTTGCTCCAAAAGTTTGCTCCGAGGCACCCTGGCACCAGTGGGATCTCTCGTACCTAGCTCTACCTATCAGGTGTGGTGGCAGTTGGGCGGAAGGGAGAGGAAAATTTGGTGATGGGTTGGTGATGGGTTGCGGCTTTCACAAGGATCTCGATCTCAAGGATGCACAATGCTTGAAACGGAAAATGAAGGCTGTTGCAAGGACGGAGTAAAACACGACAAATCGATGGCAAGTTGTTTGAAAGAGACTGGGACTCAAGCCAAACCCATCTTCCTCGCGGTGTCTTTGCAGGCGGGACACCTCAGAGGTTCAAAGCCCTCACGGTGTGATCCATCTTGGACATACATACTTCAGGCAGGTTCCCTTCTATGTCGACCATATTTGCGTGTTGGCTTCTTGCCCACACAAATTAACGAATGTTCCAGAAAGGAATCTAAGCATTCATTGGAAGGCCATTTCAGGCGCACAAGGTAGTTCCAGGGAGGTGAACAAATGTTGTGCGAGGTCACCTCCTGGCAAAATATAGACCAACATCGCTTCACTATGAACATGTTGAGCGCAGCACGAGGTGCCTGGTACACCATCGTGGGTGGCTGCACTAAAACGGGAGGGACAGCTGGTTGTGCCTGGCATGAGAGGATAGCTGCCACATTGCCATGGTCATTGTGCTACTTGCTGGAGTTAGATCTTGGAGGAAACATAGCAAACATAAGATCAGTTTGTTTGCTCAGCTTGCGGTAAAAGTCAAACGACATCGATCCTTGCATGTTGCACGCCGTGTTCGTGCTTAAGAATAATAAGTGCCTCAACAAGCAAAGAAACTCAGAAACAGTTCCTTGCCTCGACCTGCTGTGGCGCTATGGTACGTAACTGCTCCTTCCTTTGACAGCTCAGAAACAACATGTAGTTATATGTACTGTATTGTTATGGTTACACTTGCCAACTTGCACGACTTGCACACATATAGGCACACAAAGGGATAACCCTGGGAATACAGGCCAAATGCCCACTGGAACCACTGGAGCTTGCATTGCCATGTGCCGCTCCAGCACAAGGGACTGAGAGCGGAGGCAGCCCAGCCGAGCCATGCGAATGCAGAATTGAATTGGTGTAAGTCGGTGTAAGTGATCATTTGTATATTGCTGCAATGGAATGGAATAGTATGGAACCGTACTTCTGGGCACAACATTAAAATTATAACATTCTAAAGAACCGTGTTCTTTGTGCTCGACGCCCATCGATGACTTTGTGCGTGTGGATTTTTGATGGGAGGCGCATTAGCACTGGATGGAGACTACAAAGATTTACACAGCCATGTCAAAGCTATCTACTTGCTTGCACCAATTCTGCTGGTGATCGGCCACATCCTTGCAGCCGGCCCTTCTATCCTCTTCCCGGGGCGACTGCTCGTAGCTCGTCCGGCGTCAACACCACATCCACCTGAATCGGGGCAAGAAACTCTTTTTAAAGAAAACGCCATGGGCCATGACCATGACTGTTCATGTGATCATCAACGTTCAAAAATCACTGGCCAATGAAGGAACACTTGTGGCACGTGCAACCTGCGAAAGCTGCTGACGAATATGTACTGTACCCAGGTGCACACATCTCATCACATCTCTAGAGCACAAAGGTCCATACTTCAAGCTCAAGTCTTTTCAAGTCGTTTTACATCTTCAGATTCCACCGAATCAGAAGTTGTGAATACAGCTGAATAAGGATTCTTCCAACACAAAGCCTGATAAGCTTGGTACAACAACGCTGGCATTCGGAACAATTCTTACCCAAGTCCTCAACCGAATCGGGAATACAGCCGGTACAAAAGCTTGTCCATCATCTACATGGATGCCTTCCCATCATTGTTGAGGTCAATCGCAACCGGCGTCCTGCCGTTGCGGGCAACATCAGCTGGTTATAGGATGTTACAAGGTTGCTTCTCATGATGTGACTTTTGAGCTCACATGCAAGCAACTCGAACGAACTGCTATGCAATCGTTTATGGTGAATTTCTCGTGACAAACAATTTAAGCTCATGCCATGCAGGGGCCAAACACAGGTTTGTTCGGCGTGTTCCAGAGACTGGAGACTGGCCCTCCTCAAGGGCAGTTGATGCTGCACTTGTGGCGGCTCCTCGCTGGAGTCCTCAGACTTGGGAGTTCTCCAAAATGGAACTCCGTTGAACTCATCTATGATTAAGCCATGAGGAGCCAACGTATTGACAAGTTGTTTCTTGAATCTGCACAGGTGCGTTGGTGTGATATGCGAACATAATGCAAACTACAGGTGTCTGTTCTTTGCACGAAAGCAAAAAAGCTAAGCAAACGAAGTCAAGAGGAATCAGGAAACAACAGAAATCTGTGGAATCAGGCTAGCACCACCCTCGCTTTTACCCATGCCGATCCAGCTGCAATTTGTCTAGGCACCCAACGCTGCTTGCGTCATCATAACCTCCTTGGTGATGAGCTGTGCTCTCATGTATATATTACGTTAACCGCACAACAGCATGCGTTGCCAAACGGCAAAACACAAAAAATGATTCCAGTCAGAATTCGGGACCTAGTAAGTATATCCAAAACAGGCGAGTCATATCTCTGAGTCCTCCACCAGAAAAGAAGGCGCGCATTTCGAGAGTCACCCAGTCATTGATGACTAAGGGGTGTTTTCAAAGCTCCACTGTTCACTCTATGGACTCTTAGGAACTTCTAGGTGCTTGGCAGGTGTTGGATTTGTTTGTCCGCTGTGGAATCAAATGTTTGTTAGCTGTGTCTGAATTCAAGTCTGGCTGCGACGAAGGTTGAGGCAACTTCGTATGCAATTGACAGAAATTGACCTGCTTCTTCTCCAACCTACCCCACATTGCTTCACTTCCAGCAGACTTTCGCTGGAGTCTTCTGGAGCACCCAAGGACCAATGAATTCAATGACCTGCATCAGGAAACACTCCTACAGCTTACCTCACATCTTCCCGCCATTTTCATTCTAGTAGTAACAAGTGCATCGCTAGTAACAAGTGCCTTACTAGTAGTAACAATGTTTGCTAGTAGAAACAATAAGCTAATAGCTCTTTTTGCTCCTAGCATTGCCGTGACGAACGAACAGCAGTCGTTTCCGCACGAAACGTGTGAGGAACGAACAAGGTCACAAATGGATCGTGTGGCCAGCTGGCCCTCCCCCGAAACGGTGAGGGTCAGTGGCACGTGGCAAGAATCTACACGGAACCAGGGAGAAGCAAAAAGTTACCTTCACTCCTTCACTTAGCTGTTTCTTGCTTTTTGTTACTTTCTGGTTAACTGTAAACTCGCTACCTTCTCGAATCCTTGATGACCCAAAACCTCACAAATGGCACTGCTCACAAAATGGTAGAGACCAAAAAAAATACCAAAAGTGTTGCCATGCGGCCATGCGAATCTGAGAGCCAAAAGTTCTTCGTTCTCATCCGTTCTCCCTGCCATCCAAAAGTCACCCATCTCATTATGCGCGTTGCTCGGAGAGCGAGGGTCAGGATCCGCCCGGCGACTCCCAACGCCTAGGAACACAGTGACCATGCCATGTGGGGCTTTTTTTGGGCCACGGAAGATCTTTGACGTTCATCTTCACCAAATGTGCTCTTGAAACATCTTGAAACCAAGTATACAAATAAGATTGCTTTCTACGGCTACATAGCCTTCCTCAAGGACGGTCAGGTTGGAGTACTCTAGAGATGAGATCGCTTTGGTTGAGTTTTGAAGGATGGCAAAAGCAAGCGGTTGGCTTTACTCTTCACCAGACATCCAGTACCCATGGCATGAAGGCGGGTCTGATAGTTCTGACAACATGCTCCAATTGAATGCAAGTAACCAATAGCTTCAATGCTTGATGGCGGAGTGACTAATGAGACACGGCGCACGAATGCTCTTTCACTGCCTCAAACCGCAACACCGTCAGCTTTTAGAACCTCAAGAGCCTGGCAAGACGAGACAAGGCAATGTTGCTCTCAGGCCGCAAAACACTGGAGAAGCGGGGGGTGTTGTCTTCGAGTGCTTACTGGCCAATCGGCCACTTCCCTGGGCTGAACGCTCACAGCGAATACTTCAAGCTCGGAATGACCACAACCATATCTGAACTCAGAGGGGTTCTCATCGTTACAAATCACCGGTGTCAGCTCGAGTCCTTATGAGTCGAGATGGCCCAATCCCCAAATCAAGAGCTCGAGAGGGCTTTGGAATGTGCGCAGCTGGTCCGAAGGCGACCCCAAACAAACAACGCTTGGTACATCAAAGAACTGTAGTCACCTTGGCACCATTGATACAAGTAGCTTCTTGTTACTACTGGTATGGCCAGGAGCTACTAGTAGCTTCTTGCTCCTAGTAGCGATGCCCTTTGTTCCTAGTAGTTTCTTGCTCCTATAGTAGCGATGCACTTTGTTCCTCGTAGTTTCTTGCTCCTATAGTAGCGATGCCCTTTGTTCCTAGTAGCTTCTTGCTCCTATAGTAGCGATGCTCTTTGTTCCTAGTAGCTTCTTGCTCCTATAGTAGCGATGTCCTTTGTTCCTAGTAGCTTCTTGCTCCTAGTAGCGAAGCCCTTTGTTCCTAGTAGCCTAGTAGCTTCTTGCTCCTAGTAGCGATGCCCTTTGTTCCTAGTAGCTTCTCGCTCCTAGTAGCGATGCCCTTTGTTCCTAGTAGCTTCTTGCTCCTAG